AATAATAATAGTTTAAATTTTCGGTGAAAAATTCGGCTTTTAATCAATTATTCCTAAATTTCGGCAAAAAAAACATATTTAAATGGAGTGGATACGGATGGTAGTGAGAAGGAAGTACAGAAGGGAACAGAAGTTGAAACACACACACACACACACCAACCTCGTTTCCCACTTTCTCATTCCCCTGCCATTGCTGCTCACACTGTCATATGGTACACGCACAAAAAGCAGCAATAACTCTCTTTCTCTCTCTAAAACTCTATTCTCTCTCTTCTCTCTTCAAGGTGCACGCAAACAATGCAACTACTGCTCTCCTTTATCTCCGCTTTTTATTTTGGGTGCGGTTTGTATGAAGCCGAAGCTCGAAACAATCGACTTAGAACCCTCCCTCAAATAGTGTCGAGAAATGTGGTTTTAATATTGTAAATCTTTGATTAGCCTTAAAATATATATTTATCTTCCATTATAAATTTTAAAGCTTAAAAAACAGTGTAGATCTAGCAAATCAATAAAAATTTGAATAACTTAAAAATTGACGGTCCAAAATGCCTTACAAGATGCACTATTTTCAAAACTTGAAATCCATTTTTTTCTCAAGTCCATGCATCTTGATGTCGAGATGATCAATTTGAGGATATTTGAGCATCAAAACAATCTCTTCTAGTGAATTTTTTGAGGTAGGCTCTAACTTGATTGTTTAGAACCTAGGCTTGATATAAATATTTGCCCTTTTTTTTTTGGGTTGGTGTCCCTAACATACGCGTCGTGCTCATGTGTGCTTTAGAAGTCTAGGGGTAGCAATGGGCTGTGACCCGAGGTAGACCCGACCATGTAGTGTATGGACCCAAGAGTAGAACCGACAGATTAGGTTAGGGTCCAAATCTTGGACCCAAACATTATGTGGGTCCAAGTCCGGGTCCCGTATTATATTTTTTGGCTTGGATCCGGGTCCTACGTTATCTGTTTGGGTTAGGGATCAGGTCCGGCCAAACCCGACCTGACCAGTGCCCACCCCTATTTTTAACCTGGATCGTCCTTTAAAACTCTCTTCTCTCTCGCTCTCTTTAAGGTGCGTTATCACAATTCCCCCTCGCTACACTAAACATATACAAAATGCACTTAGAACCCAGATGGTCCAGGTGGATCAGCCTTGCATTGGATGGAATCCGGACCATCTAGTTTGGCAATCTGGATTTGAAAAAATGGAAATAAACATATCCAAATGATAATAGGAAAAAGTTTATACAGAGCTAGGCTTTGAACAATCAAATTAGAGTGCATCTCAAAAATTTTCCTAGAGGATATTTTGATACCCAAATATCCTCAAATTGATAATCTCGACATCAAGATGCATGGACATGAGAAAAAAATGGATTTTAAACTTTAAAAATAGTGCATCTTGTAATGCATTTTTTAGCATCAATTTTCAAGTTTTCATAAATTGCTCGATCTATACTATTTTTTAATCTTAAAATTTTATAATTAGAAATAATAATATATTTAAAAATTATCACATAGACTTCTAATATTGAAACCACATTTCTCAATACTATTTGAAGGTGTACTTTACTTTGATTGTCTAGAGCCTCGACTCTATACAAACCGCACCCATAATAGGATAGCCTGACTATCAAAATGGGGAGACCAAGACCGCCCACTCGGCAGTTCTCAATCTTCTTGTATGGATCGGCCGTTCTCGTCCCGGATCACTTGGTTTTCACACGTTTATGGATCACAGGCGCTCTTCGCCCTTTTCATTGTTAGGCAAAATCCTAGCAGATGGATGCTAATGTGAGGAAAAATAAGGATGGGTTTCTATGAATCAGCCGACTCATATTATACATATGTGGACCCCCACTTAAACCTATCTTAAGAATAGATTTTTAATCCACCATTTTAGGGATTCATGATCTAGGTTAGATGATCATGGATATATATATATATAAATTTTTTAATATTTAGAATTTAATGTTTTCAAAAAATGGTTCTTCACTGTCTAAATTCATTTTAGGATTTCAAGATGTTGATAATAACTTATTAACAAGGGTGGCAATGGGCTGGGTGTTTTTGGATAAATCCATATGGGGGATTAAGAGTGGCAATGGCCAGGTAGCTCAGCCCAGCCTGGGCAGCTTGACTTTAAAAGACAAGGGTCTGGACCACGAAATGTGGCTCGAGGGCCAGCCACCACGACCCTAGGGTAGGGTAGGGTAGGGCTGGGCCGGCCTTTTTTTTTTTCTTGTTTATTCTTTTGTTTCATTTTAGAATTTGTTTGGCTGGCCTGACCCGGATGGGGCTAGGGCTGGGATTGGAATAGGACCTTCTTGACCCGGTCAAGTCTAGGCCTAGCCCTATGGGGATTAAGGCAGGGCCACCAAACCCAGGCCTGTGGCCACCCCTAATTGATAAAATGTTGAATTATAGTGAGATTACCTGCACACAACATGATCTCAAATTTAAAGACTCATTTCGTTTTGGTGTGACTATTGGAAATCTAACACCTTACAGAGAATGATGGCATGGTTAAAGACCTTTAACCTTCTGAATCAATCAATTTATACAAAATAATTCTATTGGAAGTGAAGAGAGAGAGAGAAGCAGAGAGAGAGAGAGAGAGAGAGAGAGAGAGAGAGAGATTGAAAACATTATTGTTGTAGCCAACCCTTTGGTATAGGGGTAAAATATGAGTTATTTAGGTAATTTTCATGGAATCCAAGAAAGAGTTACAGGAGATTTTACAACAATTAATTATTTAATTTTAATTGAGAAGCTAATATCTAATTTTTCTAATTTTTTGTTTTCAATAATATTTTAGTTTATCATGAATATGATAAATAATAAGAGTAAAATGGAGAATAGATAGGATGCAGTTTTTGTAATGCGGTAAAGCTTCACCTTGTGGGGTATCAAGATTTTTTGTGTTGGCTTTAAAATCAATTTTCAATACAAACTGTAAAATTTAAAGTTGAAAAGATACTTTGGATCTCATGAGATCACTTATTCATAGGATGGTACTATTATGATCAAGGTCGAGATGATCAATTTAATAGTTTTTTTACGCCAAAACTACAATTTTCGGGGAGTTTTGAGTTGGGCTTTACTTATTTTGATTGGGCTGTGCCTATCAAAATATTTTCCAATTTATAATTCCTAATATACTGGAAATTGAATTTAATTAAGATCCATGAATGGACGGTTGATATTGCACATGAAACACCCCTACTAATTGAAAAAATTAGTGGGCATCCTGTCATATCATGAAAAGGAAGTGGTACTTTTTGGTGTTTCTTAAAGAGTAGGGGATTTTCTACCTTTCGTTTTTTCCAAATAAAAGAAAAAGAAATCTTATCATCATGAGAAAAAGAAAGTCGATAAGCCCTCTCTCTCTTGTTTTTTGAATGTTAAATAGAAAACTCTCTCTCTCCCCCTTGAAAAAAACTCTCTCTCCAGAAAAAAAAGAAGAGAATAATGGATAAAATAGAATAAAAGAGCAATGCTTCTCTCCCTCCTCTCAATTTTTGAACTCCACTTCTCTCTCTAAGAAATGGATGCTGTCCCTCTATAGGGTCTTTCTCTCTCTACATGGTATTCTTGTCTCTTTCACTTTCTTCCCAACGAATTGAGCGGGAAACTTCTCTCTCTAGAGTACTCTCTCTACTATCTCTCCTATTAGAGTACTTATCAACAGTTCAACACGACAAGCTGAAACACACACTCTCTCTCCTCCCCCTCTCTACAGTAGACGCCCCAAATCAAGGGAACAACACAAAAAGCGGGTCCTCTCTCTCTCTCTCTCTAAAGTGTCCCTCTCTTCTCTCTCTAGAGCACGCCCTCTCTCTCTCTCCAAATCAACAGAATAAGGAGGACTCTTTCGCTCTCTTCCATTTTAAGGTATTTTGGTATTACCATTGGACCCACAATATAACTTGGGTACTCAAATAAAAGAGGGAGAATGAAGCTCAAAAGCATTTTTTCTTTATTTTCTTTCATTTATTTTGATGTCCTTTTTCTCCTATGGGTAATGGGCCATGGTCCCTAGCCCCCACCATAGATTTTGACGTAATCTTCTCTCTAAAAAAAAAAAGGCAAAGAGAGATGGAATCCCAATACGAAAAAACCGAGGAGAGAGAATGAAGAGGGCACTTGTCATCTCCATTGACAAGCACTTTCTCTCTCTACATTCTTGGCACTTTCTCTCTCTATGGGTTCTCTTTTGCTGCGCAGTTCCTCTCACTCAACAGTGCTTAACGCTCTCTTTCTCGCTAATAATCATTAGACCCGCGTTTGTGCACTTTCTCTCTCTAAAAATATAGGAAAGAAGAGACAGCACTCTCTTTCTCTCTCTAAGAAGTTAGAGAGAAAGAACAGGAGAATTGTAACAAAAATTGTTGCCTCTTTCAAGAAAAAGAAGAAGAAACTGTTTCTCTCTCATCATCTGTCTCTCTCTCAAACAGCGTCTCAACAGCTCGCTCTCTTAAATAAATCTACAGTACAGAATCTATAGGGATTTGAGTCGTTCTATGTCTTAGCAAAGCCATCTCTGTCGCCCTTTAGAGCACTAATCAAATTTACACGCCCCTATTTAAATTGAAGACAACTCTCAATAAACAGTTCACTTTCTCTCTCTAAAACTATTTCTAGTGATAAACAGTCGCTCTCTATTCGTCCCCTGAAAAGCAAATCTGCAAAAGACAACAAGAAACCTCTCTCTCTCTCTCTCTCTACGACGTACGTCTCTCTCTCTCTCTACTACTACTCTCTCTCTCTCGTACGTACTACTCTACTACGTACGTACGTAACGTAACGAAACGAACGAACGAACGAAACGAACGTAACGTACGTTACT